TGTATTAAAGCTTTAATCAGGATAAAACTGTATATTAAAAGCTAACATAAGTAGTAGCATTTACAAATAACAGCGTATCTAAAAGTATGAGACAACAACAAACAAAAAACTGGCCTAAAAGCCATGCTTGCACAGGTTTTGCACGACCCTCTTCAATAATATCCTCTGCTTCTCAATCGGGCTCAAACTGATAAGCGATATTAACAACGTCGTTGTTTACAATACAAACGATGCACATGCCGCTGAGGTGAGGGGCGGGACGCTTAGAGACCGCACTAGAGACGGTTGAGCCAATCACAACACACTGGGCATAAGCGATATTAACGATGCCTTTGTTTACAATACAACCGGAGCACATACCGCTAAGGAGAGGGGCGGGACGTTTCGACGCGCACTAGAGGCGGTTTAGCCAATCACAACACACTGGGCATGCTAACCAATCAGAGCCCACCCTATTTCTGAGGGAGGGGCTTCATAAAAGCAGGAAATTGATCAGCACGTTTCTCAGAGAAGGGACAGAGTGGTGGGGAATAAAGGTAAATGATGTGAAAAATAATGCGGTTTTTAAAAAACGAAGCATTAACACATGTTAGACTGCACCCCATAAACACAATCAAGCCTAGAAATAAACCACTGAACCACCCCTTTAAATTCCATCATAAAAATACTAATTGTTACATTTTATGAGAGGGAAAGAGGGAAATCATTTCAATATATATTCTGTGGAAATTACATTATTACACAAATTACAGCTGTCTCTCAGTTGTAGTGTTACTGTATGTGTCTCATTAATTTGAATTAGATTTATTTTCTTAGATTTTTTTAACATCAGTTTTTCCATTAGTTAAATTATAACTGCCCCTCAGTTATCATTTTGATCAATTTAACAGAAATTTTTCACAAATTACAACAAATTACAACAGTCACACCATTTTGATTTAAATTTAAGTTTTATGACTAAATTAACATTAATTTTTCATTAATTATAACGGCCCTCCGTGAAATTTTTTAGTATTAATTCATTAATTTTAATTTTAATTTGAATCTAACCACTAATGAAGTTCAATAAGAAGTTAGTGTACTATCTATCTATCTATGCGTATTATATATATGGGGGAAAACCCTTAAAATGTCCATTTGTCATGCATGTATATCCACTGCTAGTAGACAAAGTAAATGAAATATGAGAGAAAAGTGTGTTTTAAGGGAGTTTCAAATCTGAATGCCCAGAAGACCAAAAGTGCCTATAAGAGAGGCACATGTACTAATTTTTTACCTCATTTGACCTCATCCCTCTCCTCCTTCCTTCTGTCTTCTCAGGATCTGAACTGTGATTGAGGAAGCGAGTGAAGACAGAGGAGGACAAAGAAGGAGACATGGCCGGCTCTAAGGCAAGAGAGTGAACAGAGAACACAAGACAGAAAGGTAACACAGTTGACGTCTCCTCACAACCTTGAGGCAGACTGTGACTTATGTTTACACTTTTCAACCCTCTCCCTCGCCTTCTTTCTCTCTCTTTGTCCTGGTCTATCTCTAGATGAAGCTGTGGGGGCAGTCAGTGTGGCCGTTGCAGGTTGTACTCTTGGTCACCTTGGTAATGTGCTCGTGCCAGTTGGTTTCTGCGGGTACACGGAGTCTGCGGGGACACACAGGTATGTCAAAGCCCTGTTGGCTTAATTACAGGAGAGTAACACAAAGCAGATCATATGGTTTACTTTCACACTGTCATTCATAAGTTCTTCTCCTGCCTCTTGTGTGTTTGTTAATTAAACAAATATTCCAGGTAGACGTTAAGCTCAACAAACAGCATTTGTGGCAAGATATTGATTACCACAAAAATAAATTTCCACCTCTCCCTTTTCTTTAAAAGAGCAAAAATCTGGGTTACACTGGGCACTTACAATGGAAGGGAATAGGGCCAGTCTTTAAAAATTAAAATAGTATAGTCACACTTTAACATAATGTTATCTGTATAATGTTATGTGCAATTTTTCAGCTTTGTAGCCATGATGAAATGCCACAAGGAGAGCAACAATGATAGCAAAGGATTCTTCACATTTTCTGTTTAATGAATTTGAAAAATTGCCTTCAGGAAGGCGTTATAAAGCAATGAAAAATATTTTGTCCCATTGTCGATCGGTTAATTGAATAATTGTTGACATTAACGTTTTTTTTCTCATTCTTTTTCTCTATTATGGATGTGTTTCTATGTGTTGTGAATAAACTGCATGCGTATGTTGTACCACCTGTGGAGGCTAAAGGAAGATTTCCATGATAATAGATAAAGTGTAATATAGCCATAAAAAATATCAGAACAAATTTACACCCCAAATAATACATACATTTTGACAAATTAATAATTCTAAGTGCTTTTTATAACCTGAAATTATAACCTTCACATTTCTGCTTTTAATACTTTTTTTTTTTGTTAAAATTATTATTTTTTTTGTAGTAATCATGCCACTAATTTTGGTGAATAAGCTTAACCTTTATTGAACCAGGAAGATTCAACCTTAATATTCAATGATGCTTTCAGCTACCAATAAGAGTACATTACTCTCATTTCTTTTTAACACATTTCACCATGTTTAAATCCAAATCTATGCAAAATTAGTGTAGAAAAAAAAAAAAGTCCTCAGATTCTGTCCACCCAGTGAATGTAAACTACAGAGGATGTCGGTAAACCTTTCAACATTCAGTTTGTTTTTGCAGCCCATAAAGGACATTTAACATGGCTTGACCTCTAATATAAACACACAATTACCGTTATTGTCAGTGCTGTCCTGTTCAGGAGATTAAATGCAGGTCGTTTGCATCCGTATCATATTTATACGATAGTGCTCCTGCCTTGCAGTAATATTAAAATGGACAGCAGCAAAGTCACTCTTTTCATTAGACTTCATTCCTCCGCAGTAAGGAGTTTTAAGCAAAGCGACAATTCAGTAATGACTGTATTAATATGTATGATCTTAAATGGTCAGGTAATAAAATCGTCACACCTCTGCGTGCCACACACACACACGGATACAGACCTACCCGTCTTTGTGAAAAAAAGAGGGAGGGTAACTAAAATAATGTCCACTTCCCCACACTAATTGACACCCACGAGCTAACTAATTCTGATTTGCATAATTCATGAAAGCTTCCCTCATGGCGACGAAGTGACCAGCAGTACATAAATATTTTAGCATGCCAAAAGGTCAGACTCCGGCTCTTTCGCTGAATCATTCATATTATGCAAAGTCCTTCCCCAATGTCAGTGTTGCTCCAGCTAATTATCACACTTTCTTTAATTACGACTTCTCATTGTTTAGTTGTTGCTAATGCAAGGTGACCTTTTTGCTTGCACAGAAATGCCACCAGCATCTCGAGTTGGTCTGACTGATGATGTTACTTTTAATTTTTGACGGGGAGAAGAGGTTACTTTTCTAACGGAGGTGTTTTTAATCAGCTCGCTGCTAATTACAGCAGCAATGTGTTGTGAAGGTCACTAAAGTTTTCACATTTCATATACCACCAAAGTGGATGTCAGTTTCAGCCTTATCCTTATTATTTCAAGGGAAATTCTTGCTAATTGGTTAAAAACTTGTTGTTTGTTGTGAAATTGCACATTTTCAGGAGAACAAAACAAAAGGGTGAACTTTTGGCAAAAACGGAAAATTGCATTGCCAACACTTTTCATTGATTCGCTGCTCCGTTATTTGCTATGCAGTGTCTATGTTGGGGAAAGTTTCAGAGTGACTTTTTACATCGACTGGCTGCACGAAGCGGCTATTTGTACCCCAATAGTCTGGAACCCGACCTGACTACCAAAAAAATAAAAATAAATAATGACTGCGATTTAGATGTCGGAGAAGTGGACTGGAGAATAAAGCTTGCTAAAGAATGTTTTATTATTTTTGCACAGGTGACCACAGGCTTATAAAAATCTCTATTAATAAAAAATGAAAAAGATGAAAACATTGAAAAAAAAATTACTATATTATAGTAGTGATATGCTATATATTATTATATTCAATATAAGTATTCTCTATTCAAAGTGTAATTTCCCATATTTATATATTGCATAACATTATATGCTATTTTAATATAAAATATATGTTTATATCATACACTACCATTCAAAAGTTTGGGGTTGATGATTTTTAAAGAAATTAAAAAATACCCATAAAATGGTATCACTTTATTTTGCAGTCCATGTACATACTATTTGTTGTAGCAATAAGCTTCTATATTTTTTGCTGTTGCTTCTATATTTTTTGACGGTGTTGCTCTGTCTTTCTTTCCTTTTTTCTTTCTTAAAGGAAGCATCCTTCAATAAAAGCTGCTTAAAGGCAGTCCAATAATAAACAGAGCAAACCATTACAGAATAAACATGCAGTATAAAAAAATAATATGCAGTATTTTAAGCAGTTTTCAACTATGATGATAATAATAAGAAATGTTTCTTGAGCACCAAATCATCATGTGACACTGAAGACAGGAGTAATAATAGCTGAAAAGATTTGAAGATTTGAAATGACATTATATATAAAATGATAAAAATGATATTATATATAAAATATTTAGGTGTGTGTCTTAATGTTGTAATTATACTATCTTATTATATTACTACACAAAATATCAGCAGCACAATTAGTATGTTAATGATAACATTTTCCAATTTATAAACAGGCTTTGTCACATCTTACCTGTACCTTGAGAAAAGCCAGTTCTTCATTGCAGTGTCACTTGTGGCCACATGGTGGCTCTGAAGCTCTATAAATGCCTGTACAGGAATAAGCCCTCATGTGTCTGAATGAAAAGCAGTAATGGGTCATTTGTAAAGTTCTCCTGTGGAAACATGGACACTAATGGGAATGGATGGTCTGAATCTCACCCAAACGAGGCAAGGGCCATTGACTGATGGTTGACACTGAAACCAGACACTATAACTAACAACCACTTTTTCTTGTCTTGCGTGTCTTGCCATGCTTGTCCATGCTTGCAGGTAAATAGAGACAATAGCGTGTGAGCGGCTGCCTTTGTTCCTGTCTGCTGTAATAGGCCCTTATATAGCCAACACCGAAGGCCAACAAAGTCCCAATGTGCATTGCATTTAATGAGTATACACACATTCTCCATGCCTACACGAACCATTCGTGGCCATTTTCGACACATCGCTTCAGCCTCCATATAGTACAGTGTGTCAAAGTGAGTCGCCTGCAGCCAAAGGCCACCCACCCTGAGACCTCATTTGTGTTATGTGAGCTGTGCTTTGGTCTGTGTCAGTTTTGTCCGTTCTTACACTCATGACATAAAGATTAAACACACAAGTTCAAATGTCCGTGCAACATTGTTCAAGCCTGTGATGACATTTGACACATCCAATTAAAAACAACAGCTAACCTGGAGCTATTACCTGGTCTGAGTAATGGAGGTGTGTGGAACATGTCAGCCGGGCTCGGGCAGTACGTTACGGGTGTTCTTGTTTGAAGGCTTGTTAGTTTCATTTTATGTCATCTTGCACATTTAATTCTGTAATTTTACAAGCGAAACTGTCGCACAGAGACAGACTTTGTAAATGCATTCTTCTCAGCTTTTTTCCATCTTAGTCACTATCTGACAAGAAGTCATGCAGAGTAAGTTTTATTAGACATAGACCCATGTGTAAATGAGGGGCCTGTTAATTGTCACAGTTACACTGTTCCAGTCTTAATGTCAGTTAATTAAGGATGTCAATCGATTAAAATGTTAGAGGTAATTATAATTAAATGCATATCAAAAGTTGCTAGAAAAAAACTGCCAAATGCATGAATAAACATTAATGTGGTTTCAATAAAAGTTGTAAAAACCCCTGTAAAAGACTTTACGTATGAGTCAGAGAGGGCAGGATTATTATGTTATTTCTAGCAAAATTTTTAATATAATTAATCTCACTTATTATTACATTACATTGACAGTCCTAGTCTTAGTGCATAATTTTTGTCGTCGCAATTAACCAAGTTCCCTCAAACCGTGTCACAAAATGCCTGCCCTTTTGGTGCTGTCACGCTAGTCGGCTATTGACAGCAGAAAGACATGCTTCTTGATAAATCGCACAAAGGCTCAGCCGCCTCACACTGTCAGAATATATCAATCGCCTGGCTGCCCCATCAGCTCAAGGTAATGGCGTTTACCTCGACACCCAGATGCGTCTGCCACAGGGATAGAGACAGTTAGCCATGCTTGAAATCTTATTTGATTTCAGGCTGATCTGAGATTTATTACTCTGAGACCATCATAATAGCGCTTTAAAATCCAGAACAAGATGGCTATGGTGGAACGCCGAGCGGTTAATTCCAGCGTCGCGGTCCTGGAGGAGAAGCCGCGCAAAAAACGCACGATTATCCCCGGAGTCTGCTCACTGTGCTTAATGGCGCGGCGGAGGATTTTACAAATGACTTCTGCTGCCAAGTGTGTAAGAAGAGGCAGATACAGAGAAAAGCGTAGTCAGATGCATTTAAGCTGATCATACACCACAAATTCTCCATGCCTGTTCAGTCATTATTAGCTTATAATGCCACGTTTACAAGCAATCGAAACCTTGCAGAACTCATTTTTTGTGGTTTGTCGGTTTCTGTGTAGTCCTCAGGGCCAGAGATGTGTCAGATGAGTGTCCAAGATGTGATGCCTGCCTGTGTGTGAGGAAGGTGTAAGACATGAGTGATAGTGTGAAGTGTGAGACCTTCTTCCTGTGATGTCTCTGCACAGTATGTTGTTAAATCCAGGGAATTGCTCATCAGTTTAACTGTAAATGACTGTTAGTATATAAAGGATGTGTGTACGTGTGTCGTTGGAAGCAAGCAAACTACTTAGGAAGGAAGTGGGTTGTGAAGGCTTGGTGCTTAGGTCTCTCCCGTGACCCCATTATGCCGGTAGAAGGCAGTATGGCCTTTGTTCTTGGGGTTTGGTGGTGATGGGGTGTCTTCCCCTGAGCACTGAGCCTCCAACCTCTTGCTTCTCTGCACACTAACAAGGCACACAGAACCCACACACACACATGCACATGTGCAAATTGGAACATATGCTGCACTTCCAGGAAAGCTACATTCTTAAAATAATTTCCAGTTAGAATCCAAAAAGTTTTAGTGGTTTTATATGCAGCTGCTTTAAAGCAGTAGATCCAGTGGAAATGCTTGCGAAAAACTGGATAGCATAATCTATTTATATGTACACTATGCCATTCAACAGTTTGGGGTTGAAACGTCTATTATGCTCATCAAGGCTGCATTTATTTGATTTAAATTACAGTAAAAACAGCAATATTGTGTAATATTATTAATTAAAATGCAATAACTTTTGTGCATTTTAAAATATTTTAAAATGTCATTTATTCCTGTGATGGAAAAGCTGTATTGTCAGCAGCCATTACTCCAGTATTTAGTGTCAAATGATCAGTCATAAATCATTTTAATATGCTGATTTGCTGTTCAAGAAACATTTCTTATTATCAGTGCTGAAAACAGTTGTGCTGCTTAATACTTTTGTGGAAACTATGATACCTTGTGAACTATATATTATTTTTACTATGTAAAAAAAATACAAAACAAAAACAACAACAACAAAACAGCATTTATATTTTCTTTTGCAACATTATACATGTCTTTACTGTCACTTTTAGTTGGTTTAATGCATCCTTGCTAAATAAAAGTATTTCTTAAAAAAAAAAAAAATTAACTTAGACGAAAGTTTATGTTTTGCAGACACTTTTATTCAAAGCACCTTGCATTTCATTCAAAGCATAAAGCATATATACATTTTATCAATTGATGTAGTCCCAGGGAGTTGAACCCATGACTTTGGCTTCATTGCATATGCTAATGTTTGTGATACAAGAACACTGATAAAGTGATAAACTTCACATCTTTTGCCATCCTGTCAAACTCTGGTGCAAATTCATTTAATTGAAGTGGACATGCCCTCATGCTTGAAAACCAAGAACAAAGTTGCGCAAAGTAAAAGCAAGTATGAGCCAGACTATAGATGATGTTCACATTGGTCAAAGAGCACTTTGTGTGGGTCACCATTCAATGTCCAATGTAAAATCTGGGTCCTCAACTCTAGCTTTAAATAACCTTTAAAGAAACCTCTGATCTGAATGACCGTTACTTGAAAAACTGGTCAAATCTCTCCCCCCACAAAAAACATAAAACTCAAAATCCCTACAGTGAAAAAATGCTGCAAAGAACCACTGAAGAACCTTAATTTTTAAGAATTTAACAAAATAAAGAATAATTTCTGCAGTATTTTTCAGTGTTATTTTAGTATTATTTATATACGATTATAGCTTTTATTCATATTTTGAATTTATAGTTTTTGTTTTTATATTTTTAGAAATTTCAAATTCAAATTTTCATTTTTGTTTCAGCTAGTATTTATATTTTACTTTTTTCAATCATCGAAAATAGTTGTAGTTAAAAATAACAATACTGTAATGCTTCAGATACAAAATCAGACATCACAGACACTTTTTCAGCTCGTTCCAAATAGATCCCCCATCCCCTCATCTCCGGAATACAGAAGCGCACCATCCATCATTCATTATCTCTGCGATACCCGTGCAGGATCCGATGCGAGGCCCCGTGGTGTCAGTCATAGTCACAGTTAGAGATCTGTCCTTACCTGTTGTTTATCCGGTGATGTCGGGGCTGACAGAGACGGAGCGCATCGAGCTCTTGAGCGGCACGCACATGGCCATCCAGCCTGTAAGGCCCCTGGACTCCACACGCTTTCTTTAATTAAAGCCCAGTCGGCGGGGTCCATGTTGGGCAGAGAGGACAGGGTGATGGGGTAACGTGGCCACACGTGGAGCCTCAGGGGAAGAAGGTAGAGGGGTGAGTACAGAAGGAAATGAAAAGAGAAGGAAGAGTAAAAAGAATGAGACCTCCAGAAGCTGAGGAGCATCACCTTTCCCAGGAGGAAGCTGCCAAACAAACTCTACATCATAGCGGGAGAGCGAGTTCACGGCCTGATGAAATGTAAACCATCATGTTGCTCTGTGTATGTGTGTGTGTGTGCAGACCCACCATGTCCAGCTTATGTTCAGAACAAAAAATAAAAGTGTAGGCTACATTTAAAAGAATACAAATATTTTTTATCAGTCAAGATTGAACTATTAACTTTAATGCAAGAACTACAATGAAAAGTTATCATATTTACACATCAATTATAGAATCATGTCAGAATTGCTCAGCAATTGTTGCTGATCATAATAATTTGTTATTTGCATTCTGACTAAAATGTTTATGCATTTTATGATTTATGATAATCTGATTTAAAAAGTACAGAAATCAAATGCTGCATATAATACCCATTTAAGCCAATTTTTGGCTACTTCTCATAACTACACTTCCCATAATTTTCTGTTGCAACATGAGAATTACACAATACATAAAAAAATGGTCACATTCTTAATACTTCATTCAACTTAAACCATATTCCAGTAAGTTGCCAAGGCATCATCACTAGTTTTCTTTTTTGAAGTTTTTTTTACATTTTTCATCTTTTTTTTTTTTAACAATAGCAACATTGTAATGCTTCATATACAAAATCACATACTGTATCACAGACACTTTTTCATATAAAATTTATGTGCGTGTGTCTCTGTTAAAAAATCCTCACATACTTTATTTTGCATTAGCACTAAAAAGCTTTGTCAGTAAAGGCAGCCTAAAACACTTCCAGCATATCACATCTCATAAAGCACTTCTGAACTTGTAAGTGGGAACTTGTAGTAGGCAGTATATAGTATGACCTTTTGCATTTCTTACAGTTGTGTATTAAAGATATGGTATGTGTCACTGGAATGTGTGTTTAATGTATTTTTAGACATTGCTGGTCATTCCATTCCTTTTCTTAAATATCAGACACATTTCAGACTGACCTTAGGGGTTGTTTGTGTTCCACTGTGCTGTTTTTCCTTTGTTTTTCTATGTAAATATGTGTTAGTCTAGCTTTATAAAAACTCAAGTTACAATAAAGTCCAACTTAAAAAACAAATTCTAGACCCGTGTCTCATGTTTTCAAACACAAAAATGCTTTCTGTGTGAATGGCCCCAAATTCCATCCTGTAATGAAAGTTGGCTAGTAATGTCCCAAGAGAAGAAAGCTAAATGTTCACCTCAAATCCATGTCACCTGCTTGTTCTCTCTCATGACAGCAGGGCAGATGGTTATGCCACCTATAAATTTATCAATAAAAACAGACTGACTAGTTACTTTTGCATTTAAGGAATCCTAATGGTATTTGATAACTTCATCCACATTGTGATTTAAATCATTTGGATATGTTATTTTCCTCAGCCACCTGTTATAACAGCTCTAATATGTCATAATATTACCACATTGCATCTACATTGAGGCATTAGCCGATACTCACACACCTCACTGTATAGAGGATCCCGAGTTTCTTGGAGACAAATCTTGGTTGTAATTGAGCACTCATGTTAGACTGGCTGAAAACAAACAAACAAAAAATTCAATGCTCAAGCGATTTATTTACACTCTGAACAGAAAAACAGAGCTCTGTGTTCATTATGTATGTCCTGCTATGGGAAGTGGGAAAGAAAAAGAGTGAAGACTTGGACCTGGCAGCCCTTAAGCTGCTTGTTAGATACTGCTACTCTCATTAAATATAGATGTTATTTCTTATATTGGGTGGGTTATTATTATTAAATGTTAGGGTTAAATCCATGAGCAAACCTTTACATAACTTTGTTTATTTACATCTATACACAAATAAAGTTGGCATTTCCTCTCTTGATCTCTTGCTGTCTTGCTCTGCTAACTGAAAGAACAGACTTTATATAATGTTGCAATTTCTCTAGCTGGGAAAGAGAAGAGCTGCATGTGTTGATATTTGCTCTGAGCAAAACATTAGCTTTTTTTTGTGCATATTTTTATGACCTGCTTCATAGGGAAATGAAGTAGGCCTATCTCTATTTTTTTTTCTATTTCCGCAGCTTCGTACCAGGTGAAGCAGGGAACCTGTGAGGTGGTGGCCATCCACCGGTGCTGCAATAAGAACAAGATAGAGGAACGTTCACAAACTGTCAAGTGCTCCTGCTTCCCTGGTCAGGTGGCCGGTACGACACGTACACAGCCTTCTTGTGTGGAGGGTAAGTGCTTTTAATGTGTTGCTAATTCCGCTTTATTGGCAAAAAACATAGCTGTGCATACATTTCAGTGCATTTTCTAGGTGAAATGAACAGTAAAACCAAATTATGACTACATGTGCAGATTATCAATGAATAAAGGCAAATGTTAAAGCAATTCCTTTAAAAAATACTATGTTACAACCTCAAAACATGTTTACTATAATACACGATTTGTTAACCAATACATTTTAATGTCTGAATCACATAATCCACTCCATATGTATGGATTTTCTAACATAGTAAGCTTGCTCAGTAGCTCACCTGGTACAGCACTGTGATGTTAAGCGCTCGGGTACGAGTCCCATGAAACATGAGTTGCGGTTCTTGCAGAAATGTAGGCAGAGTCATATATTTTGAATGAGCCTGGGTTAAGCACCAGAACGACCAGACACAGGAACAGTTTCTTCCCTCAGGCCATCCATCTCATGAACACTTAACAATAACTGTGGAACACACACTATTTATTCACTCATACACTTATTTATCTAACACTCATACTCAGTCTACACCTCAAATTTGCACATAATATACAGTACCTGTACATACAAAAACTGTCTATTGTAATATACCTGCACATACAACTGTCAATTTATATATTTTTATTCCTTATTTACTTGTTCTATTTTTTATTATCTGTGTTTTTTGTTCTGTCACTGTCATTCTGTTACACTGTGGAAGCTTCTGTCACGAAAACAAATTCCTCGTATGTGTAAACATACCTGGCAATAAAGCTCATTCTGATTCTGATTCTGATTCTGATTTCTAAAAATATTATGAGGATGTGCAAAATAAAAAGCGCATCGACAGTAGTGTAGTATGAGGACATGACCCAATTTACCCTGGTATTATCATCCACCTGGTATTATCAGCCCACCCAGGGACAGAGGGAGCTTTAAGGGCAGTCGTGCCCTAACGGATAGAGAGTCGGACTTGTAAACCGAAGGTCGCGGGTTCGAGTGTCAGGTCCGGCAGGAATTGTAGGTGGGGGGAGTGAATAACCAGTGCTCTCTCCACCTCCAATACCACGACTGAGGTGAGACGGTTAAATGCAGAGCACAAATTCTGAGTATGGGGACACCACTTCACTGTTCATCTTGTGTGATCCATTCATGTATGATCAGCACAGACACGTTACCGTTTATACCTGATGTTAACCTGTCTCTTGTGGCAAATTGTGAATGGGTTTCATTGGGAAAAGTCTCTGACTTTGCAAAATATTAGGTGTGTTTTGATATCAAAGCCATTATCCCTTTGATAAATGTGACTACACTGTCCTCCGCTTCATCTCTTCTGTATTACCTAAAGGTTTAGGACAAGAGAGTGTAGTTTGGGTGATGAAGGAGGTTTAAATGTGTCCCTTCGGTCATACTGTACGCACTTTAGTTATGAAGGCAAGAGGGCGAATGCTGGCAGCCATTTTTCTTCTTTGTCTTCTTTGACACCCGAGACAAAAGACCCCAATAGAAAGTAGGGAGGGCTGCACCAGGGGAGGTATTCCATGTTATGACTTTCATGGCTCTCTTTGACTATAGTTCATGTAATGACAAAAGTGGGTCCTATGCACATTTTGTATTTTCCACAGATGTGAGGCTGCAGGACTGTATTATGGAGACACAAGGAATCTGATGTAACCGAGAGAAAGACAACCAAAAACTATAAAAAGGATAAAATACACAAGCATAGGGATAAATTCATCTGATATTTGTATATACTGTACCTAATACTTTAATTATTTGCCTAAATAACAAGACAAGTAAAATATTAATAAAATTATGTATTATATATAATTGATATATTACAGGTTTCTATTTTAATATATTTAAAAAATTAAATGATTCCTATTATGGAAAAGCTGAATTTTAATCTTTTCCATTACTCCAGTCTTCAGTGTCACATCATCCTTCAGAGATAATTTTAATATGCTGATTTGCTGCTCAAGAAATATTTATCATTATTATTAAGGTTGAAAACAGTTGTGCTGCTTAATATTTTTGTGAAAACTGTGATGCTGTTTTTTTTTCAGGCTTTTTGGTTAATTGAAAGTCCAAAATAATAGCATTTATTTGAAGTAGAAATGTTTTGTAACAATGTAAAAGTTTTTACTGAAAGTCTTTGCTGTCACTTTTGATCAGTTTTTAGAATAATTATTTTCACTTTTTAGAATATTGCATATTTTATGCATTTATGTGCATGGGTGCAGTATTATGCAGTTTCTTTTTCTTTTAAAACTATTGGTATACACAGAAGGGCAGAAAGAGAGTTTGAGAGGCCGTGTGTGAGCTCACATCAGAGGCCATGTTAGCTTTGTGTTGAAGTAAGACAGAGTCAGTATGATTGACCTGTGTTTTCGTGCAGTGAAGGAGAGAGTGGTGAGGGTCATTTCCTCTATCAACATCGCTGGATCTCTAGATCCCTCAGGCCATCAGTCTCACTTTCTCCCTCAGGACCACACAGCCCTCTGGAGAGAGGTCACATAGGAACATATTCTCCACTTCTGATTCCTGAAGCTTCATAAATATCTAATACTCAGCGCAGAGTTGGAGAGTAGCTAACAAGAAGTAGTGACATGACTAACTACATTTTTCAGTAGCTTAGAAACTGTGTTGCTTTTTCTAGAAAGAAGCAATTTTTTTCCAAAAAATAGTGGTGTAGCATGAGAAAATACTTTACGTCACAATTATATGGCATCAGTTCTGTACTAAAGGTTCCATGTATTTAAAGCAAAATGAATAAATGTATTAAGGTTTTGACAAAAATATGTTTCAACATTGCTAATAATGATGAATGTTTCTTGAGAAGCAAATCAGCATAATATAATGATTTCTGAAGGATCATGTAAACATGCAAACATAAAAATCTCAGGGGATTTTGTCCTGCAAATGTCTCTTTGTACTCCTTGTAGTTCACCTTTTAGCAGCAGATACTGAGAAATGCATTTAATCTTATTTTTTAAATAGTGTTTAGAAAAAAAAAGTGTGATGGGAGTAATTGTGATTTTCCTGTGGTATATTACAGCTGTGGTAACTTAAAGATTTGATTGCTTATTATATTAATGGTAACACTAGTATAGGGACCAATTCTCACTATTAACTAGTTGCTTTTTAGCATGCCTATTATTAAGGTATTGGCTGTTTATTAGTGCTTATAAAGCAAATATTCTGCATGAACATATTCTACATCCCTAATCCTACCCAATACCTAAACTTAACAACTAACTTAATATCTAGAATTGGACCTTAAAATAAAGTGTGACCATATTTATTTTTATATGATTGCTGTATTAGATATTTGTATTGTGTTGTTCCTCTGTATGGCCATTAGAGGGCACTTTACCCATTCATATATCATTAAAACATCAGTGAGAGCCACAGAGGAGCCTTAGAAAGAGCTGAAAGAAACTTCATTGAAACCTTCAGAGGATGAGAGTTGAGATATACCTTCTTATGGCAAATCAACTAGGATCAGAATTTAAACAATGATGCACTGAGAACTTGGACTTTAAATCTCATTCAATGAGAATGTAATACATAAGGGATTAAATATCTCTGCTGTCTGATGTAGAGGTCCTTTGGTACTCTGTTCTGGCTGGGACTGTATCTCTAGTCACTCCTCTGTGAGCTCTTGAGTCTCTGAAGGCCTCTACCGACCTGCCCATTAAAATCTCATTAGAAGAAGCGAAAGGAAGGTGGAGAGAGATTCCCTTTGGCGCTCTGTGGGGAGATCTGCTTCACTCTGCATGAGGGCCTCTCTTTCTGCCCGGTGTGCCCAGGATTTCTGCTCTGCTTTGGGGCTTGAGGCGAGCCCCCTCTGAGCCTCTGCCATCTGTGATTTGGTTATCAGCGCTCAGCCACACATGCAGGAACTTCAAGGCCCTGTCTAATAAGTCCAGCATCTAGTTCATCTAGACATTTGTCCACAGGAATGAATAAATAAATATATTTGATTGCAGGTTCTAGAAGATATTTTTAATTCAGATTACAGTTTGATTTTTTTTATTATTATTATTTTCCAGTTTTACACTTGTTAGAATTATTATTGATTATATTTCCAGTATATATATATATAATTTTAATATTAATATTAATATATATCTATTAAACAAACAAAGGTTTTAGACTGCAGGAATTTGGATCAATTTGCATCCAGATTGCCATTAGAAATCATCTTATTTCTCAGTTACATTTGTTGAAGTCTATCAATCAGCTTATAGTATTAATGTTTATAATAAACAGTCATTTTTTATGCATTTGGTTTCAGGCAAGCAAATTACCAATTCCTAGATCACCTGTAAAATGTGACAAACAAGCTTAGTACACTGATTATTCAACCATTTTGGTCAGCAAATGTAATTTGAGTTTGTAGCTTTTTATAAATTCAGGCAATAAAATGTGCTCTAACATAATTACTTTCAGTTTTTTGGTACTTTAGCTTAATTTTCTGCATTGATTCCATCTGTTGTTGCTGAGTCCTTGTATAAACACTTGTTTAAAGAGTGATTAGTCTCACCAGTGTTGAATTAGATTAGAAACATGCAACCGAGAATAACATACTGTATCTTATGCCATTTACAACCAGCCTGTACCTTATTCTATCTTATGCCAACGTAAGGCTGAGGTTACATTTATGCAGTGGCAGATGTGGAGAAAACCCACTGTGATTTCTTGACGCACAGCGAGTGATGTGTCGGATTCGTGAGCTGGAATGCCTGCTGTTTAATAAATAGGTCGGTGGGGTCAGGTGTGTTTCCTGCACTGCTCTTCGGGCATATCCTTAAGGAGACAAATGTGCTTTTAGCCTGCGGAGAGTGATACTGAATTAATACACTGCATTAATGTGTGTCAAAGGCAGAATCTGTAGCTAAGCTGATAGTGTTGTAAATTAGGTCATTTCAAGCTTTGTGCTGCTGAGACGGAGTGCTGGGTAATCTAATAGACGGGTATAAATGGATTTGGATTGATACTAGGGGGTTTTGAGTCTCTGGCGCATAAACAACAATGTGAGGTGTGTTAGCTGGGATGCACACCCATATGCATATACATGTACAGATATACATTATTGTTTACCACCCCCATTAATCTGAGGTATGGCAAAATACACATGTTTGTGTTGTGCAAGTTTTTGTGAACTTTTTTTGTTTACTCCCATCCTGTGTAGGAATTTGTTATAACTTTCTAAGCTTGATTCAATCATCAAAATGTGCTGAATTCTGAATACCTAAAAACAATTTTGTATTGTGTAATTTCTGTGCTGCGAGTGTCAACAAGTGGAATTGCAACAGTGCTGCAGGGATGATGTGTTTTTGTTAGCATTTTTAGCATGAGTTAGCATTTTAGCACTTCTGGTTCCATTTGCCAATCTAGGTAAACTCATCTACTCACTAGTCCACTTTTTCAACCTTGTGTTATATCACACTCTTGCAAACTATTCATACTCAAACTTTCTGAGAAAATGCTTTTAAAGACTGAAAGAGCTGTTGGAAGCATACTGATGGTGATGCTGAAGAAATGTTGCTGCGGTGTAGTTTGTTTATAGCCTATATTTAGCTTCTGATGACTGTATTTAGGCTTCAAATTTTCTAAAAGTTGTTTTGTTCATATAGGAGATTATCATGGTAAGCTAAATAATTTTGTTGTTTGTCACAGAGCTTTATTTTTTGCTATAATCTAGAAGCCATTGGAAAAATCCTATTGGGGATTTTGTCTAGGGCAGGGGTAGGCAAGTTCGGTCCTAGAGAGCCGCAGTCCTGCAGAGTTCAGCTCCAACCCTGAAAACAAAACTCACCTGCCTAGCCTTAGTAATCCTGAAGACATTGATTAGCTTGTTCAGGTGTGTTTGATTAGGGTTGGAGCTGAACTCAGGACTGCGGCTCTCTAGGACCGAACTTGCCTACCCCTGGTCTAGGGGAACCAGGGTGATGCGAAATTTTGCATTAGCTTACAAAAAATATGCTCTTTGATGATGGTTTTCGAACAGGTTTCTCAAACACTCTCCCCTCTGCCATTGGTCGGGCAAACAGATTGTCCCGTCCTAAATGCACACCAATGGTTGAGTCAGTGTTGCTGTGTTGGGATGTTGAAATAAACACATGAATGTTTGATGTTCAAATCAGTTTACAAATGGCTTATATGTGACTAATGTAAACATATGAAACTTCTTAAATATGCAAATCTCAAGTTTTCAAGCACACTAGTTGAAATGCTGATTGTTTTTCCTGTTATCTCACATTATGACATAGGCGTCAGATTGACAATAGTGGCAATGTTTGTGTGTCTGCATGATTTAGAATACTTATGATTACCACATGCTGGGTTTCCCCACCAGGCCCACAACATGCCACGAACCCCAGTGCCAACAATTGCAAACACAAACAAGAAGAGACAGACAGTGAGACACTTTCTCAAGATGTCTGACATGCTGTTCCCATCCCATCTTGCTCTTTGCTTTTCCCTCTCACCAGTTTTTTCCAATCTGTCCTCCCCTCTCTCTCTTTCCATGCAATGTTACTCGCCGGCATCTTTTCCTGCAGTTTCCTCAGCCACCACATGATGTCAGCCACATTTCAAACACAGCCTGTTCATACCTCTGAAATGGGGGTAGCAAAAATATTTCTGTATCCTGGATAGTCTGTCACATCTGTAGCAATGACACTGTCTAAATCCAACAAGGCGCCATACAGGAAATCAAAGCTTAAATTAGTGCCTTCATATCCTCAGATAGGGCTTTTCATGACTGAAAATAGAAAGACCATCAGTGTCTCGCAGTTGTCCCTGCCACTTCAGCACTAAAAGCGATAAAAATCCTTCCAAGTATGTGGGCTTTGGCCAAACTCTATCCAGTTAAATGCCTAAATGGTGGAGTGAGAGATTTGGTGTGGAAAAGCTGAAAAAAGGGTTCAGACAAAGTTGTCCACAACTGCAAACCTAAAGCCATTTAACTCCTGAAAAGCTTTAGCGGCTCAGCTGGCCTTTTTCTTTGGGGAAGTTTCAAACCCTCAGTCTAAAACACCTGCTCTGACATGTACTATAAAAATATGATTTTCTTTTTTTTTCTCTCTCTTTTTTAACAATTGGTCAGTTTGAGGTCCTTAACCGTACCTGTAAAATGTAATTTATTCCTGTGATAGCGAAAGCTGAATTTTCAGCATCATGACATTACTCCAGTCTTCAGTGTCACATGATCCTTCAAAAATCATTTTAATTTGCTGATTTGCTGCTCGAGAAAATTTTCTTGTTATAATCAATGTTGGAAATAGTTGTGCTGCTGAATCTTTTTGTGGCAACCATGATGCTTTTTTTATTCTGTGATGAATAGAAAGTTCAAAAGAACAGTGTTTATTTGAAATAGAAATCCTTTGTAACTTTATAAATATTTTTCTGTCACCTTTGACCAATTTAAGGGTTACTTTTATTAATTTCCTTAACAGTGATCTGAACAGTGGTGTATATATACTGTAGGACTTGGTATTTTGGGACTACATGTTGATTTATTGTTCTGCTAATATATATGTATATATATATATATATATATATATATATATATTTCCATCCTGTGAATTAAAGAAAAATATTTCTTTTGATAATTTTGTCTGATACTAACGGGTGTTTAATGTGAATTTGAGTCATGACTGTGAGCTCTCCACAATAAGCGGACGCCCATGACCAATATTTATCTTCACAGCAGTTGTTATTGGATGCTAACTTAAAGAATACACTCATATTGTTGTGTATGTTTGTTTCGTTTCACGACACACTCACGCAGACAAATGACGGAGAGCTCTCGACAATAATGAAAACATCCTTTCATAAGGTTGCCATTATAATGATAAGGTTGCCTCACAATGTAAAGCGCTTTGAGTGCCTAGAAAAGCACTATATAAATGTAACGAATTATTATTATTATTAATTATACTTAATAATGTCCATATTAATGCTAATTATGCAGCCACTGATTCTCTGAACCACTGCAATCAGACTGTGGGCTTCACACAGATGGAAAGGCACACACACAGCAGTTACTGTATGTCACTGCCTTTGCAACTGCTTATTTTGTTGATTTACGAGCATCATCATTTGACTATAGCCATCCTACTCTCCAAATCTACAAACACACATGCTGTATGAACCCCTGCTTTCATGTCCTGTAAGGCGTTCACTCACGATGCTTGAGAGGATTTGCGCGTGTTCCTTTGCATAATTCCATGTAAAGCTCATTTTCGCTGTGTATATCCTCTCTCCTTCTATTATTGAGGACAATGGGCTTGAGAGCGGCTCTCTTATGGACGCACTCATCTCAATGAGCCTCATTTGAACAGGCTATTGATCGGCTTCTCAGAACTGGATTTGGAGTGAACTAGGCTTTGGAAGTGACACGGGAGAGCTTGGACTACTAAGAGGACTTGAAAAGCAGAGTGGCGAGGGTGTTTTCAAATGTATTGTATTGGTAAAAACTTCTATTTGGGTTTGATAAAGATGTTAATGCTAAAGGTGATATGTAATTCCTTCACTGTTAAAATACAGCTATGTAAAAGGGGACGTTTTTTGTCATCTGAACCCCTTTGACCTAAAATATTTATGTTTATTTAATATTTATATGTATTTAAGTTAATATTTTAACAATTTAAAAACACATTTGCATATTCACGATTCTCTGATGTTGGTTAATAGGCACAACATGCAGATAAACAAATATGATATTTACTTTGTGTTTTGTTTTTATTTTATTTATTTTTTTTTCATTTTACTTTTAAAGCTTTTCATCAGCTCTCATGAAGCCCAGTTTGGGAAACCTGTGAACAATGGTAGTGTTGCTTTAAAAAACATTTCACGTGGTAACTTTGGCTCAACCAATGGTGTGCATTTAGAGCCGGATCACTTATTTGGTGGTTCCACTTATTTAGTTTTTCAGCGGTTATACAACACATTTAACATTTAATAGCAGATGTGATTATATATTTGAGAAGACATCATGGGATTTTCAAGCAGTTATGATGGAGAAGCTGTTTCCGATGTACCGCTATTCAGAGTGGATAATGGAGCATTACTTCCTGCGTTATGACAAATCAAAATGACTTTTTTTTCACACTATTATCTTCTTGTATGCTGTTAACAACTGTTTATTCAGCCTGTGCTTCAGCAGAAATTCTTGGAATCTTGATCTTTCATGTATTTTCCTCTATGTTTCTCAGTTGGGAAGTGATGTGATCTGTATTAGTCATCTTAGTTGTTTTGCTTGCCATTGCAGGTCAAACCTACACCTGCAATTTTGCATTATTACAGGCTTTAAAATGGTAACTTTTGATGAAAATTTGAGAAAAGTGATGTTCAGTGAGATACTCTGAAGATAATAATGTTGAGAGTAGTTTAATATTTCATTTTCTCCATCTCTTTTTCAGCTTCCATCGTGCTGCAGAAGTGGTGGTGCCAAATGCACCCATGTTTGGATGGCGAGGAGTGTAAAGTTCTTCCAGACCTGACTGGTTGGTCTTGCAGCACCGGTAACAAAGTCAAAACCACCAAGGTGAGTGGGCCAAGTAAAAACGAGTTGTAGTTTGCTGACCTGGTTTATTTGCTTCTTAAGGAAATAAGGACCACACTGATTAACGCCTGGTTGCAATCGGACACATGCTATATTTAAGTCCAAGAGAGCCAGGTTGGCACAGAAACAGGCTTCTGCCCATTGAAAGGGAACCTTTTTGTTGCCATAAAAGTACCTTTTAAACAGACTTTTCTAAGAGCTACTATATATGCCATCAAAACACTCCCCAGGAGTATTCTCAAAGGGCGTTTTTTTGAGGACCCCGTCTCCCAATGCCTTTTTCTCAGGCAAACCATTCTTCAAAGCAACGTTTTGTTGAGGCCTTACTTTTATAAGACGGTTCTCTGAAGCTCCTGAGAGTACAAGAAGGGCTATGTTATGAGATAAAATTGTCATATATATAGGGTTTTGTAAAACAATTAAACACACCTCTTCAAATGTTAACTTGGTTTATGGGCACATTACTGCAGGGACACAGTTCTTTTTTTTAATTTTTTTATTGGTGCTACAGTACATCCCTACAGTATGTTATAGGCAGACGCATCACTCAAACGTTCTAAAAGAGACTTATTAAAGAATGAGCAAAGCTTGAAGATATATAACATTTCAGAGTAACTCCACAGATTTTGTGGCTCAGCAAATAAATCCCCAAGGACTTCAGTCATACAGAGAAAAGTTTCAAAGTCCGAAGGAGAATTTTCAAAAGCCGAGCCTAGACATACACGCAAAGACAACATTGTTGGTCCATGCTAGCTTTGACTTGAAAAAGGCATAAAAGCGAACAGGAAAATGGACTCATTTTCAATTAAAGATGTACGTTTTGTGCATCAGCTCATCTGAACCTATGGTTTAATGCCTCAAAATGTCAGTATTCAAGCTTAGGTTTTTAAAACTTTCTTTCTGTATGGAAAGAAAGTTAAATGAGGTAAATGCTTACCTCATAAATCAAAATAAAGATTAGAAATGAGACTTTGAGACATGAGATGTGCTTCTTTTTGTTCGGTGAACTGCTGTTTCATGCAGTTGTGACATACAGGTGAAGTATTAAAGAAATAACGGTGTGTGAGAACACAACTGCTATAAGAATAATTGCTCAGAGTTATAAAGTAACAGCAGAACATCTGTTGTGTTCATTAAAATGCATTATGGCTATGAGCTCCGCTGAGGCTTTCAAATTAAGAGTCCTAATTAAATTGGTAAGAGGGAGAGACGAGAAATGAATGACGGCTCTGGGTTTACATTCAGGATTAATGACTCTGTTTATTGAGTCCATTATTGGTTGAGTTGACTGTCAGTGGGCTAAGCCCCGCCTTCTGCCTCCACAGGAGCCAATGGGCTGCAGTGAGTCACAGATGGGAGGCGGAAGGGTGTGTCTTACTCCAGTGAGCATTAATTCTGCATTTAATAGCAGTGGAAATGGAACAGTAACCAGCAGGCTTCAGCGCACATGTCACAGGAGATTGTGGCGATGAGCCAGGATACATATTGTGTTCTCTCTCTGTCTATTTCCATCTGCTTTTTTATATCTTTACATTCTCCTCCTGTACCATCCGCTTAATATCTGTCCTTTATGTTTTTATTATCCTTCTCCACTGTGTGCCTTTCTGCTGTACAGCTGCCGTACAGCTTAATGTCTCTTTCCAACACTAAAGCATCTGAGTGCACACTTCAAATATGTAGAATTTATCTAAAATAGTAGGCTATACATAATTTTAAAAAATCATTTTAAAATAATAGAATTTGTTTAATAATGTTAATAATGTTTTGAAATGCGCTTAAATGTTTAAATAATTTAATAATTTTGTACATTTAACCAAGGAACAAAATTGTATATATTTTTTTCTTGCCCCATTGACAAGTATTTATGGTAGCACATTATTTTAGGGATAATTTCTCACTATTAACTAGTTACTTATGAGCCATGCATAATACTAGCATATTGGCTGTTTATTAGTACTTATAAAGCACATA